GAAAAGTAATTTTAAGATCCCAAGATAATTTGAATCAATAGATAAATATTTTCCCGGAATAATGCAAACTTAATGCATTATCAGATGGTTAGAAAATATGCACAGCTCAATATAGTTTAGGAATATAAAATAAAGAATCGATATATACTTCGAGTCATCCAAACAAATTTCCCGAGTATTTTAGTGAACATAAAGGAAAGTACTTCGAGATAAGTTGAGCAAAACATCATATGCATTAAATTATTCGATTCAAACACGGATATCTTAGTTGATTGTTTAGAAAATATTAACAGAATTTTCAGAATATTTAAAGGTATATAATAAAATATTAAGAAAGGATACATACAAGCTTAGTTGCTCATGAGTAAACTTGCAATTAAGATTGCAAAAATTTAAAAGCAGACTCACCAATATTGGATTAGCATCTTTTCCAGTAGCCCACTCCTCGGCAGTGAGGGAAGGAGTGTCACCAGCAGTATCTGGATATAGATCTTCTTGAAAAAGTCCAGATTTTCGAGGCACTGTGAAGGGAATTACTTCACATAGACCTTTGGTGTGTAACTTGTAGAAGCGTGCGATTTCATTTTGATTTACATCTAAGCCACGCTTAGGCATCCAGCCCATGCCACGCTGAGGATCTGAGCTAGTCAACATGTTGATGAAGTGAACATATGGTTCTTCGTCTGTTATTTCGAAGTAGCGGATAGTACTGTCCCCCTGTTATAAGAAACACAAGTGGAGAAAATAAATTCACATTAGACGAAATATCCTTATAAGATGTACAGAAAAGTGGCAAAATTAAATGAAACTGCATTTATAAACTACGATAGGATTGATTCATAAGAATAATTAGAGATAAATATAAATGAATTTAATTTCATACAATATGAATAGGATAAAACTTGGGGAAAATAATCTTACTTTGCCACATAGGTAGATCATGTTTGTATCAGAATCGTAAAATGGAAACAACACACCGTTGCTGGTATCCAGTTCCTGAATATTTAGGGGCTCAGCGATGTTATCCTAAAGTAAGCAAAATGTAAGGCTCAAGATAAAATAAATGAAAAGACAAAAAAAGAAGTATAAATCTTACATCTTTCCAAAGAGCATATTGGCGTTCGCTCATGGGCGAGAAACCTGTTGTAAATATCCTGTTGTCTTTTAAGTAGACGGCTTGCTGAGGTTTAGTACCCTGGTGACATATGTTATCCTAATGAAGTAGAAATAATATCTAAAATGGTGTGCTGAAGTTGTTAATAAATAGCGACCAAAAATATGTTAGGCATAAAGTTGTCAAATTATTAATAGGTGC